GTAACTGAAAGAACTTGTAACCAAGGTCACACCAGCAGCTTGCATGTGTAGGAGTCGAGAATCAAACCCAGTTCTCCCAGGTTAGAGTCCACGCTCCTAACCACTACATCAGACTGACTTTTATTTTCTAAGGAGAATAATAGTGGATAAGAATGGGAGAAAGGATTGTGGGAAGTTAGGGCTGCCAGCCTCCTAGTGGAAGAAGAAGGTCTCCCAGAATTATAACTGATTTCCAGACTATAGAAATCAGTTCTGTTAGAGAAAATGGCAGTTTTGGAGGGTGGGCTCCTGTGGCAGAACATCCCTTATGGCATCACATCTCTGCCAAACCCCTTCCCCTCCCCAAACTCCACCCTCCCGAGACTCTGCCCCCAAAACTCCAGGCGTTTCCCAAGCTGGAGGTGGGAAGTAGTTGGAAAAGAGATGAAGCAATACAGTAAAAAATTAAGTGGCAGTCTGGATTTAAAAGTAAGTGCTTCTCATGGATAAGAGTAGTAGGAGGGTGACAGGTATGGAGACTGACCAGCGTTAGTGGTGGCACAAAGGCTGGGATAAACCTCATCCTCCCGCACAGGCATACTTTCACAGCCAGGAGCAAAAATATGCCAACGCCTCACAATGGGCTGAGTAGGTTCTGGCAAGCTGTTGCTTCCAGAACCCAAGGCCCAGACTGGTTAAGGCTTTTATACACATGTGGGAGGGAGATCTGGAAAGGAGCTGTCCCTTCTGTACATATCTGTGTGTGACTGCTGGGAAAGCGTGACCATGCAAAGGTCACACTTTTTTTTTTCTTTTTTACATATACACCCATATGAATCTCCCAATGAAAGGGGAGATCAGATGCTCAGGATTTGTAAGTTCCAAGTAGTTCAGCAATTTCCCCATGTTTCATTTCTTTCCTTAGTCCTTACCCGAGTCCTGTAAGCTGTATTCCTTCCATAGAGTCTTCCCAGTAGAATAAAACTGTATTATTAGTGAAGAGAAAATGATTGCCTTGATGCCTACCTGACTTGCTGTTCCTCATGCCATTTGGATGCTTCTCTTGCCACTGAATTAGAGAGGAAGGAAGGGATCAGGAGGTGGTGGGGTCTACCAGAGGGAAAGGCCCTGAGTCCTGCTTAAGAAGGGGTTGGGGACTAGCAAAGGATTGCTGTTGGGATGAGAGAGTTCTCTCACCAAAATGACTTCCTCCCCAACTTCTGAGCAGAGCTGGGCTGGGCCTTGCTTGCTCAAAGGCTGTTTGTCTGAGCAGGGATTAAGGGTGGCCTGTTGGGCACTGGGGTGAAAGCATCACAAGTCCTAGGTTTAAACAGGGGTCGTTTAGTAGAAAAAGAGCTAGGGGAACTCATTAGCATAACTCATTAGCATATGCCACACACCCTGACATCACCGGAAGTGTGTCATAAGGCCACACACCCCGCCCCCAACAGTCCCGGCCGCTGCTGCTGGCCTTGCAGCTCCACTGCCGAGCCCCATGAGGGGCCCGGTGGTGTACCTGCAAGGCCGGCGGGAGTGCAAGGAAGCCCCGCGAAGGCCCTCCCTGGCCCCAGGCAGGCAGGGGTGGGGAGAGGCAGGGAGGAAGCAACTTACCCTCCCTCTTCTCCTGCCTCCTCCTGGCTGAATGAGGGCCGGAAGCGGGGCGGCCGGGGGCGGGGCTTCGTCATGTGCCCCGCCCCCGTACCTCCCCCGGGGGAACTGCAATCCCCCGCAATCCCCCCCAAAATGACCTCTGGGTTTAAAGAAGCTGCAGGCTTACTGTCTGTTGTATTGGGCCAGTTTCAGTGGCCATTTGCTTCCTTTCTAGTCTCTGGGCCACATCTTTGCAGGCAAGGCCAAGCATGACTCGTTTACCTGCCCTTTACAGTGGGCTGCGGGATTAATTTACACCATTATAGGCTGGGACTTCATCTTTCTGCTGAGTCATTGGCCTAATTTTTGTTAAACAAGTAGAGCAGGTGGGAGTTTGCACGACTTTTTCCAGCTATGAAGGAGAAGCATCTACCATAGTCTTCTCCATAATTGCTAGCACTCTTTGTGCAGGGATTTTTCTTTTACTGGGGAGGATTCAGTCTTGTGATCCCTTGTCTGCAGTCTGAAGTGGGGCTGCTCAGACACAGGTTGGCTGCCTTCATGAGAATTATTAGAAGGGCCTGGATATAATGGAGCAAATGAAAGCACTCATACTGGTAGGTTGTTGGGTAGTTTCGTGTGTGGTATTATCTGAGAAGGAGGTTGCAGCCTGGTCCTCTAGCAAAAAAGGGCCAAGTGTCAGAGTTCATCACAAAAGCAGAATCAAGAATTGACAGAAACAGACTCAGACAGTCCTGCTGGCCCTGCGTTACCTAACATGGCAAACCTTTGAAGGCCGGTTTTCACTTTTAGTTTCTGTCATCTCGCTGCACTTGGTATGAAATCAGAGAAGTTAATGATACATTTTTAAATGGAGATTATGTAAAAGCACATATCTTCCACAGTGGAGACAAGAACAATTAATTCTACTTCTCTGCAATCTTAGATAAAATTTGTATTTTTATTAGAGAAACCATCATAATAAAGAAATGATCATAATAAACAGTTTACTGTGATCTTTTCTGCATCTGTTAAACTATGTATTCCATGAAGGAATAAATACTTTAAAATAAAATAACAAAAATAGGTAGTCGAGACTAATAGCAATAAAATGAAGATCATATTAAATTTAAAATATATGGGATAACAAACCTTATAGAAGGAAAGTAATCCTAAAAAGTCCTAAACTCAAATACTAAAATATCCTAAACCCAAAAGAGCTCTTAAAAAACAATATGCTCCGTGTGTGTGTGTGTGTGTGTGTAGGATTAGATCTTGTAGAAACTCTTTCCTGAGGCATCAGATGGTTGTATCTGCACAAATCCAGTACTGAAATGTGCTCTGGAGATTCCAGTGCAAATTTTGGAGGGTCTGTATCAGACCATCTCTCTCTTTACAAAGACATGAAAATACAAAGGGTGTATACATTAGGAGGTCATGGTTTGTTTTGAAGTAGATGAATTCTGAGGGACTTACTGAAATATATTACCATACTTTTTTTTCTACATATCGTATCACCATCTCTGGGTTAGGAAATTCCTGAAGATTTTGAGGTGAAGCCTGGGGAGGAGAGGGGAGGGGAGGGACCTCAGTGGGGGTATAATGCCATAGATTCTACCCTCCAAAGCAACCATTTCCTGTATGGGAACTGATCTCTGTAGTCAAGAGATCAGTTGTAATTCCAGGAGATTTCCTGGCCCCACTTGGAGGTTGGCAGCCCTACGTGATCATAATAAGCACTGCTTACTAAAATTTACACATTGACAGATGTTCTGGTTTTTCATTGCAGTTGTGAGGCACCATTCCCAAGAAGCTGCTGTGCGATGATGCTCAGTTCATAGTAAATAAATCATTAGTGTCATATCAAAACATACTGCACATTTTTAGGTGTGGTTTCAGTTTGAAGTTTGAAGGAAAGCAACAGGTGAGCATATCCTTTAAATCCAGTAATCACAGACCCTTTTCCTGTACAGAGCATTGTTCTAGTTTATAAACTTCAACAAGTCTGTAGAAATAAAAATTTATTTTACTACAATAGAGAGTGTAAAATAAAGTCACTAAACAACATCAAAGTTTGGTAAGAGAG